ATAAATCTATTACATACAAAACAAATCTACTACATACCACATACAAAATAAGTCTATTACATACCACATACAAAATAAATCTACTACATACAAAATAAGTTTATTACATATCACATACAAAATAAGTCTACTACATACAAAATAAGTTTACTACATACAAAATAAGTCTACTACATACACAATAAGTCTACTACATACAAAATAAGTCTACCACATACAAAATAAGTCTACCGCATACAAAATAAGTTTACTACATACAAAATAAGTTTACCACATACAAAATAAGTCTACTACATACAAAATAAGTCTACTACATACACAATAAGTCTACTACATACAAAATAAGTCTACTACATACCACATACAAAATAAGTCTACTACATACAAAATAAGTCTACTACATACACAATAAGTCTACTACATACCACATACAAAATAAATCTACTACATACCACATACAAAATAAGTGTACGACATACAAAATAAGTCTACTACAATACAAAATAAGTCTACCGCATACAAATAAATCTACTACATACATACAAAATAAGTCTACTACATACAAAATTAGTCTACCAGACTACCACATATAAAATAAGTCTACTACAGAATAAGTCTACGCACTAAAAATATTATAAAATATTTGAATAGGTTTTTATGAGATTATTCACATAAATTTATTGTTTGATAATTGAACTCTATAATATTTTAATTGTTATAAGATTTTATCATATAGTTAATATAAATTCATAATGTGTAAGAATATATGTTTTTGTTATTAAGAATATGATTAAATTTTCATTTATGTATATATATATAGAATATATGTTTTTTTTATTAAGAATATGATTGAATTTCATTTATGTATATATATTTTTTGGCATGTATAATATGAATTAAGACATGAGAATTAATATATAATTAAAATTTAATGGTTTGAGATATAAGTTTAAATATTTCAAAATATTTTGTAATTAAATGGGTTACTAACTAAAACTTAAATTTTGATATTAAAATTTTTTAATGTGTTTATCCGTGTTTTAACGCGGGTCCTATTCTAGTAATATAAGAAAATTATATGTGTCCCTTCTATATAATTAAGAAACAACTATAGCATCATATATAACATAATTATAATGATGGTAACTTCTTGAATTAAAATATATGGGTTTCAACGAAACGAACATAGGAGTGGGACTACATCTAGACAATTAACAACTCTTCAATACTGATTCGATTTCAATGGTAATGACAACCCAAAATAATGACTTAAACTAGGAGTAGGATTAGTTGCCACGAAATTATGACAAGAAACCAGGAAATCTATGTTTGAGCTTAGGGTTGGAGTCAAATATCTAAAAGAGGAGCTATTTTTGTTTGACAAAACTAAGAAACCCCTTTTTCGTTATTCATCAACGTTTCTAATGACAAAAAATATCCGCATTTTCGTATAAGTCTTGTAAAAAATAAAATTAAGAGTAAAGAATTCATTATATTGTATTTGGCAAATCCAAATATCCGGGTACCGAAAAGATTATGAGGCAAAGGCTAGATTGCATGGAAACGAAAACGGATACGTGGAAACGAAATGTTTTGGAAACGTAGAAACGATTTTCTTAGAAAATTTAGGAAACGGGTACGTTTTGGAAACGCGCACACATATATATATATATATGAATCAACAACATCAAAAAAATATTTAAAATAATTTGAACAACACAAATTATATATATGAATATTAAATAACTTAACAAAAGCCAAAAGTAAAATAATTTTGTTGTTTTTAACATATATACAAATGCAACCTTTCATAATTTTTTATTTTTAACCTATAAATATATCCTACATTTTTAAACTATTTAATTATTACATAAGAAACAATTTTTCATCGCATTTCCAAAACAAAATCGAACATTTCCGTCGTATTTCTAATTTGAGATCTCTAGGAAACTAGTTTCCATCGCGTTTCCAAAACGAAATTAAAATTTCCATCAAGTTTCCAAATTAAAATATTTTAGAAAACGCGTTTCCAAATTAAAATTTATTAGAAAACGCGTTTCCTTGGAGTTTCCAAGAGTATCGGTTTCCGAAACATTTCTGAAACGGGAAACGCTTCTCAGACGGAGTTTCTATGTAACCTAGGGCAAATGTTCCGAACTCCCACGGCATCAAAAAAGGAAGAAAAAAATATGTTTCCACCGTAGACATTTTCACTCAGAGTATACTCTGGAAGTTATCTTCTATATATTAATTGAGGAGACACTAA